AATTAAAATAATAATAATATATTTATCCAATCCCCTCTTGAAGCTGTCTGTGCTTGTAGCCACCGCCACTTCCTGCGGCAGTGACCCCTGGAGAAAACGGCTGCTTTGGAGGGTGGACTCCGTGGCTTTATACCTTGCTGAGGCCCCTCCCCCCCTCAAACCCCACCCTCTACAGGCTCCACCCTCCCAAGTATCCAGGAATTTCCCAACCCGGAGCTGGCCACCCTGTCTCTAACCCAAACTCGTTGCTATCTAACCTTTCCTAAAGCGGTAAGCAGTTAATTTACCCATTTCCACTACCTCAAACGCTTTCCTCAGCCTTGGGCGATTTCCAGTTCGTACTCATCAAACACGGTGACAGTTACAAACAGCTTTTCAATGAAGACCTTATGTTTAATAGACAGGGTCAGTAAAAACACCCAAGAATAGCACCGTAAGGTCAGCTGGGAAGTTACACTGGCCGTTTTGTTGATGGTTTTAAGAACCCTGAACACCCATCGACCTTCCCTCGTGGAGCCAGATGATGGCCACAGTGACCTGGAATGAAACTGGAGAGGGCCTGTGGGAGGGAAGGCCTCCCCCCATTCCACCCCTGCCCTTTGGCCTTCCCTCCAAGCCTCCATCTCCTGTGAGGCTTTCAGAGTAGTTTTATGGAGAGAAACAGCTGTTCTTGTTTGGCTCAGTTTCCCTTCTAAAAATGGATACGCTCAGGGCTTTCACATGCCTTCCTTGCCGAGGAGAATTCTGGACCCACGCCCACCGCTCTCCGCCGCTCAGCAGTGTGTCGCAAATGTCCACACAGAAATGGTGAGAAGGAAGGGGAGCTTTCCCCTCACAAATTGTCATAACTTCTCCCCTGTTTATACCCGAGTTCGGGCTGACTGAACTTTACATAGCTGCGGGTAAACATTAGACCGATGGCCATTTCCTTGTCCACAGCAAAGTAAATACCGAACGAATAGGGGTAAAATAAGGTTGCCAGCTCTGGCGTATAATGCTGTAAAGTCCACCCTCCTAAGCAGCCATTTTCTCCAGGCGATCTGACCTTGGCCACCCGGAGATCAACGGTAGTAGCAGGAGATCTACTGCCACCACCTTGAGGTTGACAACCCAAAAGTAAAAACAGCTGTGGAGAGGGTAGTTTGAGAGGGAAAAACAGCAGATCTGAGGAGAATTAAATACCCCTTCTCTCCTACCACTTCTCCATTGCCAACTGCTTTTTCCAGAGGATTTTCCCCCCCTTTAGAAACAGTTTCTTTTGTGGAACCTTTCAATATTATGTGATGAGCCATTCCTGCCAAGGCAGCCATTTTGTGATTGGACCTGCCCACACGGAAGTCATTTTGTGGTGGCACCCCAATTACCTTTTCTCAAAATCCTCAAATTGCTTGCTGATTGGGGACCCCAATGGGTTAATTCCTCCTGTTGCTATGTAGTTTGACTTCCGCTTTCTCAGCTATTTAAAAAGTAAATGGACAATATTTAAGACTTTGGCCTCAGGAGCTAGAGAGTTTGGCTGTTCCCTGAGACTCATGGAGCAACTGCACGTGTCCATGAGGGAGATAAACATGTGTGAAAGAGAAGGAGCCAGGCCAGCTCATGGCTGGTTCCCGCTCCTGATACTTGCAAGTCCTCTTGTGGGTACGTATACAAAACGAAATGTTGACCACATAAGGAAAAGAAAAGTGTTTTCGAGTTCTAAGAGATAAAGATAGTCCACGTTTAAGGTTACATCGTAATGTCCTGGCGATGCCTGAGCGTATATGAAGCCCTAGATGGTGCCAAAACTGTTATGTAGCCAGACCACTTGAGAGGAGGTCAGTTGGTCCAGTAAAATTAAGGTTGCCAGGTCTGACTCAGGAAATATCTGGGGTCTTTGGGGGTGGAGCCAGGAGACTTTGGGGGTGGAGCCAGGATGTGATGTCACTAGGTGATTGAACTCTGAAGGGAGTTCTGGCTGTCACACTTAAAGGGACCACATTCCTTTTAAATGCTTTCCCTCCGTAGGGAATAATGAAGGATGGGGCACCTTCTTTTGGGGCTCATAGAATTGGACCCCCTGGTCCAATCTTTTTGAAACTTGGGAGGTTTTTTTCAGGAGAGGCACCACCAACTTTGCCGCATGACGGAGTGAGTTCCAGCTCCTGCCAACCTAGCAGTTCTAGTTCCAGCTCCTGCCAACCTAGCAGTTCGAAATAGGGCTGCCAAATCGGGCCGGGGGGCGGGGAAACCCCCACTTTGGAGGTCCGATTTCCGCTGCAGCGGAATCGGGCCCCGGGGGGAACCCCGCCCCCGCCGTGCGCGTCACTAGGAAGTGATGTAGGCACGCCGGGCACGCTGGGGGCGGGGCCACGGCCATACAAGGGAAAATTCTATGGTTTTCCCTTGTATGGCCGTGGCCCCGCCCCCAGCGTGCCCACATCACTTCTGGGTGATGTGCATGCGGCGCACACGCTTTGTGCGCACACACTCACCCGACACCGGCCAGGAGCCCCCTGCTCCCGGCGAAGAATTATTTGGCAACCCTAGTTCAAAAGCAAGAAATTGCAAGTAGATAAAGAGGTACCACTTCAGTGGGAAGGTAACAGTGTTCCGTGCGCCTTGGTGTTTAGTCATGCCGGCCACGTGACCATGGAAATGTCTTCAGACAGCGCTGGCTCTTCGGCTTGGAAACGAAGATGAGCACCGCAACCCTAGAGTCGGATTCGACTGGCTTTCCAGCAAGGGAACCTTTACCTTTACCTTACCTCAAAAAAAAAAACAGCCCCCCAGAGCCCCAGATACCCACAGATCGATTCTCCATTATATCCTATGGGGACCAGTTGTCTCATCCACCTCTTGGTATGGTTCACCATTCATCATCAGAGGTGAAGGGCTGGTGGTCATGGTCTCCACTCGTTCGTAACCGGGTCCCATTTCGCAGACTGTAATGAAACACAGGATGTACATCTTTAAGAGATTTAGGCAGGGCAAGTTCAACAGCCACCTCCCCCACCTTGCGCACAACCATAAAGGGTCCAACGTATTTCCAGCCCAGTTTTCGTCTGGGCTGTAGTCCTCTTAAATGTTTAATAGACAAATAAACAGAGTCTCCAGGTTGTAAATCCCACTATGGGGTACGCCCCTCATCGGCCTGAGCTTTGTTGTTTGCTTTGGTTTTTTGGATGACAGGACATTGGTCCTTTAGGTGGATGAGAGGGGCTGTTGCAGGTGCATGCTGGGTTGGCAAAAAGACCCTTTAAATGGGTCTTTTTGTGAGTCGAGCATGCGGCCTGCGACCGCTCCCTCCAGCTGGATTTAAAGGGCCCTCCAGCTGGTCGACGGGCCATGTGGTCTCTGCCGATCAGCTGAAGTCCTTTAAATTGGGGAAGAGGGGAGGGAGAGGGGTGGCCGGGCGGGTGGTCGCTTTTGGGCAGGGGTGGATTGAAGCGCCCAGAAGCGGGAGAACCCCCACCCAGACCTGGGGGCTGGCAACCCTGTCTCCTTCAGTCCGCTTCAGGACTAAGCCTCAGCATCCTTTGGCTGCCCTGACCTTGATTTTGTTTGGTGGTTTTTTTGCAGCGAGTGGTACATGGACGGGAACGTTTTGATCATCATTGTCAGCGTCGGTGTCATCCTGCCCTTAGCTCTGATGAAACACTTGGGTAAGTGGTAACGCCTGCACAACCGAGCGTGGCTTGGGGAAGCGGTACCGGATCAAGAGGGGGCTGTGCACGTTTGGGCAGAGACGCATGTCATGTGTTTGCGCGTGGTCGTGTGTTTGCATCACTGCAGGGTAGATGGCCTTCTAGCGAAGAGTTCACGGCCATGTTTGTTACTTGTGTTCCCTGTATTGGTTGGCACCTCTTTGCTGCCCCCTGTTGGAGAGCTGGGGCACGGCCTTGATCCACACTGGTCATAAAGCGGGTGGCTTCCAGGAATTTCCCCTTTATGAGCAGTGCCTGGAAATTGTTGTGTGTGGGAGAGGCTACGTCACCTCCCTTAACGGAGTGTTTGCCTAACGTTAGGGGTGGGTGTTGTTCTGGCTCGGCTCCCGCGCCCGTTATCAAGGCTAATAGATCAGGAGCATAATAAGTAAAGAAGGAAGTGGGACCGTTGCTTCTTAGCCTGGGGGGTCAGACGGAGACTTCTCAATTGTACATTGATGCAAGTGGAGGCGAGGCCGTCGGGCCTTTTCCCGCCTATTCGCTTCTTAGTTTGGTTGACTGCGCTTGCTCACCTATTGTGGCAAGAAGGCCTCCGAGTGTGCCACACAGGAAACGAAGAGGGAGTATTAGAAAGGAGAGAGAGAGAGAGAGGCTGAGAGAGAGAGAAAGGACAGTTTTTCACTCCTCCTTGCTAAGGGGCCCTGACACAGATGGCCCGGGCTGGCCCTGGTTTTGACTTGGATGGGAGGCCACCAAGGAAGTCCAGGGTGGCTACGCAGAGGCAGGCAGTGGCAAACCGCCTCTGTTTGTCTCAGCCCTGACCTGGAGGGCCCCAGCTAGTCCAGTCTCGCCAGCTCTTGGAAGCTAAGTGGGGTTGGCCCTGGTGAGCACTTGGATGGGAGACCACCAAGGAAGTCCGGGGTTGCTATGCAGAGGCAGGCAGTGGCAAGCCGTCTCTGTTTGTCTCAGCCCTGACCTGGAGGGCCCCAGCTAGCTCAGTCTCATCAGCTCTCGGAAGCGAAGTGGGGTTGGCCCTGGTCAGCACTTGGATGGGAGACCACCAAGGAAGTCCAGGGTTGCTACGCAGAGGCAGGCAATGGCAAGCCACCTCTGTTTGTCTCAGCCCTGACCTGGAGGGCCCTGGCTAGCTCAGTCTCGCCAGCACTTGGAAGCTAAGTGGGGTTGGCCCTGGTTAGCACTTGGATGGGAGACCACCAAGGAAGTCCGGGGTTGCTATGCAGAGGCAGGCAGTGGCAAGCCGCCTCTGTTTGTCTCAGCCCTGACCTGGGGGGTCCCAGCTAGTCCAGTCTCGTCAGCTCTCGGAAGCGAAGTGGGGTTGGCCCTGGTCAGCACTTGGATGGGAGGCCACCAAGGAAGTCCGGGGTTGCTACGCAGAGGCAGGCAGTGGCAAGCCACCTCTTAACATCTCTTGTCTTGAAAATCCCATTAGGGGCCACCATAAGAGACATGCCATAAATTATTGATCAGAAGCACTATTTTGGCATTCTGTCCTCAAAATGGAAACGTTCTAGATTAGCTCTTCAGACGAGGGTATAAACTAGCAGGCCAGTCGAATATCTTTCAGCAGATTCCATATGAAAGCTTGACGGCTCTCTTTCTTTACCTCCTTCTCCTTACAGGCTATCTAGGTTACACCAGCGGACTTTCGCTCACTTGTATGTTCTTCTTTCTTGTCTCGGTGAGTCGACCTGGCATCTCTGAACTCCCAAAAGCCTTGCCGGACTTTATAGTGGATAAAACGTTCCCGAGCCTTTAATTGAGTTAATTTGTTTCATTTATATCCTCCCTTTCTCCCCAGTGGGGACCAAAAGCCGTTTACATCATTCTCCTCTCATCTAGTTCATCTTCACAACAACCCTGGGAGGTAGTTCAGGCTGAAAGTGTGTGACTGGCCCAAGGTCACCCAGCGAGCTTCCACGGCACGAGTCGGGATTCAAACCTGGGTCTCCCAGATCCTAGTCAAGTGCTCTAACCACTATTCTATAGAGGCTGTCCAGTGTGTATAACACAGTGTAGTCGGCCCAGGCTAGCCTGATCTCATAAGGTTCTGGAAGCAAAGCAGGGTTGCTAAGATCTGACTCCACTGCCTGGGAGAGTTCTCTCTCTTCTGTCTCCCTCCCTTTCCACTGCCCAGGAATCCTGTACAATCGAACAAAAATAGGTCTGGGCAGGGCTCTTTTTGTAGAAAAAGCCCAGCAGGAACTCATTAGCATAATAGGCCACACCCAACATCAGGAACTCATTAGCATATTAGGCCACACCCCTGACAGCACAGCTCATTAGCACATTAGGCCGCACCCCCATGTTACCAGAAGTGTGGTCATCCAGCCACACCCACCTTTTGCTTGTTATTCTGTTTACCTTGTTTGTTGTCAAAACCCAGGGCTTTTTTGTAGCAGGAACTCCTTTCCATGTTAGGCCACACACCCCTAATGTAGCCAATCCTAATGAGTTTCTGCTGTTGGGTGTGGCCTATTATGCTAATGAGTTCCTGCTGGGCGTGGCCAGCTTGAGAGCCAGCCGGAACTCCGTTCCTGTGCGTTCCTGCCCCAAAATAGCCCTGGGTCTGGGAGCCTTAAAATGCCAGCTCCAGATATTCCTGAATATTTCAGATTACTGGTGTTCCAGAAAACCTGAATATTGCTCTGGGTATCTGAATAATATGCACTGACCTGGATGACCCAGGCTAGCCCAGTGTTGTCAGATCTTGGAAGCTAAGCAGGGTCAGCCCTAGTTAGGGATGGGCACAGGCCAGAAAAATAGAGGTTCGTATTGGTCCGTGGGTTTCACGGATCACGAATTTTTGCTGACTTTTTTGTTTAACGGACTGGTCAGTGGTTCATGCGGTCCATGATTTCGGGACGTGTTGGAACAGCCCCACCGTGGCTAGAGACACCAAACTTGCAGTGAGTCTCCAACTGACTCTCCTCTACCTGCCTTCCACGGTTGGTGAGGACTGGATTTCAGGGGGCTGAGTTATGGCCCCCTCAAACAGGTGCCCCCAAGGAAAGTGCACTTGAAAACCGCAGATGCATGGACCAGGCAAACAGACCACGAACACCCCCCAATCCATGATGAAATTAGGTCCGTGGTCCGGTCCATGCCCATCCCTAGCCCTGGTTAGTATTTGGATGGAAGACCACCAAGGAAGTCCAGGGTTGCTATGCAGAGGCAGGCAATGACAAACCACCTGTGCACTTCTCTTTCCTTGAAAACCCTACAGGATCGCCATAAGTCAGCTGCGACTTGGCGGTATTTCCCACCACCACCAACATAATGTAACATGACATTATGAAACAGAACAGAATAGAAATGGATCCTGCCGACAATCTCCTTTCTACACCAATATGATATTAATTGGGGTAGAAAGTAGAATGTAGGGTGGGAGTAGTTTCTTCAGTCACTCCTCATTCTTCTGCTTTTCCTTTTCTCATCCTGACACTCAGTGTCTTTAATTCCCTTCCCAAAGGTGATCTACAAGAAATTCCAGATCACCTGCTCCGTCAATGGGACACACTACGAAGAGGCCCCCGTCCATTATAATGGCCGCAACACCACCGTTGAGCACAAAGATGATGTCTGCGTTGCCAAGTTCTTCACTGGCAGCTCTGAGGTTAGCCTAAGGGGTCCTTGAAGTCTTCTGTGGGCAGCATAGTGAATTTCTCCTGTAAATGCTTTGTTTAGTCATTTAAAACACTTTTTTAAAGGCATGTGCTCCTTTAAGCAGAGTGGGTTGCTGTAGTTGACTAATTCCTGCGCTAAGCCAGGGGGTTGGAGTAGGTGACCTCTAGGATCCCTTCAAACTCTGTGTCAAGAAACTGGTCTCCTTTAAGAGAGTTTTTCTGCCTAAATGTTAACTTTCTTGGCTCTAGAAGTTATCACCCCCACCCGCCGGCTCATTCTCAGAATGGTTGCTTAGGCTGGCAGAAGTGATTAACTTGCGGCAGCTGAGAACTGTCATCTACAGTGGTCGACAGCTTGCAATTTAGAGATCTATCCTGGTAACAGCTTTCTCTTGGCTAAATGGCTTTTCTTTCTACCCCACCAGGGGGGAAAAATTGTCCCACAAGCCACAAAATCCTGGCTATGGGCCTGATAGTGAATTAAGAATTTCTGGGTGAGGAGAAGAGGCATCAAAAGACGAACTTGCAGATGAACTTGTAAATGTTTGTAGGCGTCTGTAGCAGATGGGTAGTCAAACTGTTGAGTACATCTGCCAACTCACCGCCCCCCCCCCCCCCCCCCGAGTTTATAGACATGCTGTTTCTAGCCTGAGACATCGCGCAGCACGGGCAGTCAGAACTGAGCACGGACCGATCTTTCCTTTCCTTTGCAGACGGCCTACGCCATCCCCATTTTGGCATTTGCCTTCGTCTGCCATCCGGAGGTGCTTCCCATTTACACCGAGCTGCGCAGGTGAGTAAAAATATGCATGTATAAAAGAAGGTTAAGAAGGCAGAGGTTGCCCAGTTTTTAAACAATATATATATTGGAAAGAAGCCCTGAGCTGGGTCACGCAGGCTACCCTGATCTCATCACAGTGACCCCGGACTTCCTTGGTGGTCTCCCATCCAGGTAGTAACCAGGGCTGACCCTGCTTAGCTCCCGAGAGCTGACGAGATTAGGTTAGCCTGGGCCATCCAAGTCAGGGCTGGGGCCTAGGTAAAGGTTTCCCTTGCTCGAGAGCCAGTCGAATCCGACTCTAGGGGGCGGTGCTCACCTCCGTTTCCAAGCCGAAGAGCCAGCGCTGTCCGAAGACATTTCCGTGGTCATGTGGCCGGCATGACTCAACGTCGAGGCACACGGAACGCTGTTACCTTCCCACCAAAGCAGTACCTATTTATCTACTTGCAATTTCTTGCTTTCGAACTGCTTGTTTGGCAGGAGCTGGGACTAGAGACGGGCGTTCGCTCCGTCATGCGGCACTTGGGTCTCGAACTGCTAAACTACAGACCTTCCGGTCTGCATTCAGGGTCTTCACCACAGCCCCGAGGGGCCTAGTAGGTTATAATTATGTAATGGTATGCATGGTCTGTCTGTGTCTTGTTTAGGGCCTCCAAGCGTCGGATGCAGAATGTAGCAAACGTCTCCATCCTGGCCATGTTTATCATGTACCTGCTGACAGCCATCTTTGGCTACCTCACCTTTTACGGTAAGGAACAAACCCCTCAGCAGGTGAGAGTGCAGGTTACAATCTTGTTCTTTTTCATACAAAGGATAAGAGAGGTCATTCTCGCTCACATAAATCTTAGGGCAATGCTATGTTGTTGTCTGTGGTACCTAGGTTGCCAGCTTCCATATGGTGGTGGAGAGCTCTCTCCTGCTGCCTCCAGTTGCCCACCACCAATCACTGTGGCAGCGGGAGGATACAAACGGCATCGCCGATGCTACAATGTCATTTCTGGGTGAAACTCCGGGAGTGACATCACAAGTACCACAACGCTCTAGGAATTCCACTGCTCTCTATAGTCATTGCTACAGAGATTTGTGGGATTCCTAGAGCGTCACGGGGTGGGGATGTCATTTCTGGGTTTCCACCGGGAAATTATGTCACAACATTAGCAACGCCGTTTTCCGGGGCTCCGCCCTTGGAAAGTTTCTGGGGTTTGCTAGCGGTGAGCTGGCGACTCTAGGGGTACCTCTTTCTTTGCCTGCAGAAGGCAAAGAGGGAAGAGAAGACGTCTCGTTTAAAAATCCAGGTGCTTCTTCCCCTTCCCTCGTGGGCCAAATCCCCACCTCTCTTCAGTGTTCAGATGTGTCTCTTCTGCTTTCTGGCAGGGAATGTGGAAGCTGAAATGCTGCACACTTACATCAAAGTGGACCCCCTGGACCAGCTTATCCTCAGCGTGCGGCTGGCCGTGCTGCTTGCAGTGACGCTCACGGTGCCCGTGGTTCTGTTCCCGGTAAGAGATGGTTCTTCTCTCTCACCCAAGTGTCGTGCTGAATGGCTTTTCCTGCCCCAAAGGGAGTTTAGAAAACTTATTGAGAGCCAAAAGTTAAAAACATAAGTAAGTATATGAAAGAGTGTTTATTTCAAAGGCATATAAAAACCTTGTAAAGGTAAAGGTTTCCCTTGCTCGAAAGCCAGTCGAATCCGACTCTAGGGTTGCGGTGCTCATCTCTGTTTCAAAGCCGAAGAGCCAGCACTGTCCGAAGATGTTTCCATGGTCATGTGGCCGGCATGACTAAACACCAAGGCGTACGGAACGCTGTTACCTTCCCACTGAAGTGGCACCTATTTATCTGCTTGCAATTTCTTGCTTTCGAACTGCTAGGTTGGCAGGAGCTGGAACTAGAGATGGGAGCTCACTCCGTCATGCGGCACACCCGGGTCTCGAACTGCTGAACTACTGACCTTCCACAGCCTGCAGTTCAGCGTCTTAAACACTTGAGCCACCGCAGCTCCATAAAACCTTGTAGGGGCCCAAATAAAGCCTCATAAAATGTTCAAAGTTACAAATACACACAAAAGGACAGTGTATGGCCTGACGCGTTTCGGCTCACGAGAGCCTTCTTCAGAGGTCAAATAGTACAAAATACACCAAGCAACAGGGCCCCTGTAACACATGTAAGGCCTGGAGATCTCCCGGAATTCCATTTGTTCTCCAGACTACAGAGATCAGTCCCCCTGGAGGAAATGGCTGCTTTGGAGGGTGGACTCTGTGGCATCAGACCCATCTGAGACACCCCCAAACTCTCCAGGGATTTCCCAACCCACAGCTGGCAACCCAACCTTATCCATCAGGCTGTAGTACAAGATAATAATAATAAGAAGAAGAAGGAGGTGACCATCATGCCGGTTGTCATTGGAGCCCTTGGAGCAGTGCCTAGAAGTCTCAAGAAGCACCTGGACGCTCTGGGCCTTGAGCAAATAAGACCAGCTCAGGTCCGGAAGACAGTGTTGCCTGGAACAGCAAGAATCCTGCAAAGATACCTCTGCAGTTCCCAAGAACTTGGCTGAATCTCGAATTGCGGAACGCCACCTACCAGTCAGATAGCTGACTGTGACAATTCATCATCATCGTCGTCGTCATCAACATCATCAGGTGGGAAGGGTGAGGAGAGAAAAACATGTTTAGAGGCATGATGCATCTGGAATTCTGGCCCTGCTGGTGGACCTCCTGATGGCCCCTGGGTTTTGGCCACTGTGTGACACAGAGCGTTGGATTGGATGGGCCATTGGCCTGACCCAACATGGCTTCTCTTATGTTCTTATGTCTGGGGCAGTGGATTCTTGTATTCTTGGTGCGGGGCAACAGTGGGAGGGCTTCTGGAGTTCTGGCCCCACTGGTGGACCTCCTGATGGCCCCTGGGTTTTGGCTACTGTGTGACACAGAGCATTGGATTGGATGGGCCATTGGCCTGACCCAACATGGCTTCTCTTATGTTCTTATGTCTGGGGCAGTGGTGCTCTGTATTCTTGGTGCTGGGGGGGGGGGCAACACCAGTGGGAGGGCTTCTGGAGTTCTGGCCCCACTGGTGAACCTCCTGATGGCCCCTGGGTTTTGGCTACTGTGTGACACAGAGCATTGGATTGGATGGGCCATTGGCCTGACCCAACATGGCTTCTCTTATGTTCTTATGTCTGGGCCAGTGGTGCTCTGTATTCTTGGTGCTTGGGGAGGCAACAGTGGGAGGGTTTCTGGAGTTCTGGCCTCGCTGGTGGACCTCCTGATGGCACATGGGGTTTGGCCACTGTGTGACACAGAGTGCTGGACTGGGTGGGCCACTGGCCTGATCCAACATGGTTCCGTTTATGTTCTTATGATGGAGGGCCCCCCAGGCTTGGGTCCACCAGAAGATTTCCACGGGCACTGTGGTCCTTGCGCAAGCAGAACTGGCAGAGAGAGCTTCCCGCCGGTATTTTGCAATAAACACAGTGTGTCCAGAGCTCCTTTTCTGCTTGCGTAAAACGTTGGGCAAGCAGTTTCTGAGCACTATAAGATGCAAGAAAGAGAGCGCCAGGTGTTGCGGAAGATCTTGCGCAAGCGAAGCTGTGCCAGGTCTGCTGACGTCTCTGGATCCAGGCCCTCGTCTGCACTGTGCAGAGTCTCGAAAATGTGATGCAGAGTAGACGACATGCTGTAGAGTGCCAATCAGGTTTTCAAGGCACTGGGAGAAGGGAAGCAATACAAAAAGAAGAAGAAGAAGAGAAGAGAAGAGATTGGACTTATACCCCGCCCTTCACTTGGAGTCTCAGGGCGGCTTACAAACTCCTTTCCCTTCCCCTCCCCACAACAGACACCCTGTGAGGTGGGTGGGGCCGAGAGAGCTCTTGACACAAACGGCTCTTTTTCAAGCACAGCTCTGACAGAGCTTGTGACTGACCCAAGGTCACCCAGCCAGGTGCATGTGGAGGAGTGGGGAATCAAACCCGGTTCTCCCAGATTAGAGTCTGCACAGTTTACCACTACACCAAACTGGCTCTCAAAGGGGCCAGGCCGTGGCTTGGAACTCCAGAGGCATCATGCGTCTAAACACGTTTTTCTCTCTCCACCCTTCCCAGATGATGATGATGATGATGATGATGATGATGATGATGATGATGATGATGATGATGATGAATTGTCACAGTCAGATATTTGACTGGTGGACGGTGTTCTGCAATTCGAGGTGAATATACGCTCTGACCCGGATGGCCCAGGCTAACCCAACCTCCTCAGATCTCAGAAGCCAAGCAGGATCAGGCCCGGTTAGTATTTGGACGAGAGACCTCCAAGGAATAGCAGGGTTGCTACGCGGAGGCAGGCAATGGCAAACCACCTCTGAACTTTCCCTGAGAACCCCTACGGTGTCGCCATCCATTGGCTGCGACTCGACAGCACTTTCCACCGCCATTGGCGTACATATGAGCAGGGCTTTTTTTTGTAGAAAAAGCCCAGCAGGAACTCATTAGCATAATAGGCCACACCCATGACCGCGCAGCTCATTAGCATATTAGGCCACACACCCCTCGTTACCAGAAGTGTGGTCATCCAACCACACCCACCTTTTGCTTCTTATTCTGTTTACCTTGTTTGTTGTCAAAACCCAGGGCTTGTTTGTAGCAGGAACTCCTTTGCATGTTTGGTCACATACCCCTAATGTAGCCAATCCTAATGAATTTCTGGTGTTGGGTGTGGCCTATTATGCTAATGAGGTTCCTGCTGGGCGTGGCCAACTCGGGAGCCGGCCAGAACTCCGTTCCTGTGCGTTCCTGCCCAAAAATAGCCCTGCATATGAGAAATACCAACTAGCAAATATCCGAAGGCACATCCCTCCCTGTCCACATCCTCTTCCTCGCAGGGTCTGGGGAGGTCAGGCAGCTCAAACATACCAGGAACAGCAGAGGGGAGCTGGGAAGAGATTGGCTGTCAGGGATGCTCTAGGCTGATCCTGCACTGAGCAGGGGGTTGGACTAGGGCTGATTCTGCGTTGGCTTTTCCCTCCGTTGTTTGACGAAACCCACGTCGGAACAGAAATTCCTCTCTGCATTGCATTCCGGTTTCGCTTTCTCCGATCATCGGATTTTATGGTATCCTCCACACTGCATTCCGCTTTCACTTTCCGTGATCATGGGATTTTATGGTATCCTCCACACTGCATTCCGCTTTCACTTTCTCTTATCATCGGATTTTATGGTATCCACACTGCATTCCGCTTTCACTTTCTTTGATAGTCGGATTTTATGGTATCCTTTACACTGCATGCAGCTTTCACTCGATCATCAGATTTTATGGTAACCTTCTGCATAGATTTATGGCTGTTCAGGGGTGACTTTGCAGTAAGTACAACATTGCCCCGAGATATTCAAATGTGGTTTTGAGCTGCACTTTTTCCTCCGAGTTGAGAAAATGTGGAGTGAATGCTAGATGCAGAATCGCCCTAGGTGGCCTGTATGGTCCCTTCCAACGCTGTGATTCTGAGTCTAAGTATTAGGTTGGACTCGCTAATAATAAGGCCGCCTCGTACCTTGACAGAAACCCACTTCTCTGTACACCGCTGCTAGCTGCACCCTCATTTCAGCGGTGGGTGGGGGCTCTCTTTTGCCAGTTATTCCCCTTGGCTCACATGGATGCTTGCCCTCTATAGATCCGCCGGGCCATCCAGCAGCTGCTTTTCCCCAAGAAGGACTTCAGCTGGCTTCGTCACATCGTCATCGCTACCTGCCTCCTTGTGGTGGTCAACCTCCTTGTCATCTTCGTGCCGAACATCAGGGACATCTTTGGAATTATCGGTAAGCGCGCTGCATTCCTGGTTATGTAGTCTTATTTATCTGGGCTCCTTGCTGGGGACCTTAAGCTGCTTACGAAAAAGATCCTGGTAGAATATAATTTAAATAAATAACACCAAGAACAGAAAGCATAAATATGCAACGCAAACTCCTGGGATGGTCCTAGATCCCTTGGGCAGCCATCTCATGGCCAGGGGTAAATGCCAGGGGCCAAGTGCCCTTTAACTCTTGCTCTTCGCTTTGCCCCTCTGGCCATGCCCAGGTTTTAAGTACCAAGAAGTGAAACAGAAGCTCAGCATGGATGTTATATCTGAAGATGCAAGTAGTGACTCACGAAAGCTCCTCCCCCGCCACAAATTGTGTTAAGTCTTTAAGGTGCTGCTGGACTCTTGCTTTTTTCTGCTGCTACTGACGAACATGGCCGCCCATCTTGTTATACTGCCTGGTAGAGATGTTCCTGAACCTCCCCTCCTGGCTAGCTTGGTGGTCATAAACCATAACGTAGAGTAGCTCAGACGGGTACTCTCCTGGTATCTTTCCTGGCCTGTAGCTACAGTGGGGCTGTTGGGAGCTCTGCCCTTCCAGCCCCACAAGATTTTTTTGAGAAGAAGGGAGAAGAGCTGTTCTCTCAAGAGCAGTCCTCCCAAGAGCTCTCTCAGCCCCACCTACCTCCCAGGGTATCTGTTGTGGGGAGGGGAAGGGAAAGGAGATTGTAAGCCGCTCGAAGACTCCTTTGGGTAGTGAAGGGCAGGGTATAAATCCAACCTCTTCTTCTTTTACCTCACAGGGTGTCTGTTGTGGGGAGGGGAAGGGAAAGGAGATTGTAAGCCGCTCGAAGACTCCTTTGGGTAGTGAAGGGCAGGGTATAAATCCAACCTCTTCTTCTTTTACCTCACAGGGTGTCTGTTGTGGGGAGGGGAAGGGAAAGGAGATTGTAAGCCGCTCGAAGACTCCTTTGGGTAGTGAAGGGCAGGGTATAAATCCAACCTCTTCTTCTTTTACCTCACAGGGTGTCTGTTGTGGGGAGGGGAAGGGAAAGGAGATTGTAAGCCGCTCGAAGACTCCTTTGGGTAGTGAAGGGCAGGGTATAAATCCAACCTCTTCTTCTTTTACCTCACAGGGTGTCTGTTGTGGGGAGGGGAAGGGAAAGGAGATTGTAAGCCGCTCGAAGACTCCTTTGGGTAGTGAAGGGCAGGGTATAAATCAAATCTTTTCCTCCTCCTCTTCTTCTTCTTCCTTTTCTTCTTCCTTTTCTTCTTCTTTTTCCTCTTCTTCCTCTTTTTCTACTACTGCTGCTGCTGCTTCTACTACTACTATTTGAAACTCTCCTGAGGGAGTGCAGACTCTCTCTGAAGTTTCCTTCTGGACATCGCAATCAGCCACAGCTGCTGGCGGGGGGGGGGGGGGGGGGGGGGGGGCAGGAGAGTGCAAGACATGCCCCCTTGCCCCTGGTGCCATAGGAAGGTGTTCCCTGCTCTGCACCCCTTTCCCCCCATGACTTAAAAGGCCAGGATGGCTTGATTTCATCTGACTCATCTTCTTCTTTTCTCCTCAGGAGCGACGTCTGCCCCCAGCCTCATCTTCATCCTTCCCAGCATCTTCTACATCCGCCTTGTCCCCAATGAGAAAGAGTCGCAACTATCCAAATCTAAAATCCAGGTACCAGATGGCTGTGGAGACGGTGGCCATGCGATAGCAAACACTATCGGGGAACAGAAAGGAGGGTTCGGTGCCAAAGGAGGGTTCGGCGCCATGTGTCAGTGGTAGGGCATCTGCTTTAAAGGGAGGGGCTGTCGTTCAGTGGAAGCATCTCTGCTTTGCATGCAGAAGGTCCCAGGTTCAATCCCCGGCATCGCCATTCAAAAAGGCTCAGGTAGAAGATGACGCGAAAGACTTCTGCTTACGACCCCGGAGAGCGGCTGCCAGTCTGAGCAGACGATACTGACCTTGACGGAGTGGTGGTCTGATTCAGTACAAGGCAGCTTCCCGTGTGACGTGAAAGGATAAGCCAAGCAAAATGTAGCTGGCCACGTTTCCCCCAGCAGTGTCAACTTAGCTGAAAAGACATGGAAAGTACTAATTGGGCTGATGGGATAAGAGCAGTGTTCCCTCTAAGCTGAGTTAGTGTGAGCTAGCTCACAGTTTTTTAGCCTCTGGCTCACACATTTTTGCCTTAGCTCAGGAAGGAGGGCTCCAGAGCAAACTAATTTATGCAGTAGCCAAATCGCTTCCTCACAACTTTAATGCCAGTAGCTCACAAAGTAGGATTTTTGCTCACAAGACTCCACAGCTTAGAGGGAACATTGGATAAGAGCCCTCTGTTTGATTCTCTTTAAGCCTGGGCTAGAAGGTCAGTCTAGTTGGGTCCATGGGAAAATACCGGGTGCTCCATCCGACGCCCACGCCATCCTAGCATGTAAAGCGTCCTTCTAGAAATAATTAACCTCTTCGCAGCTCATTGTCTGTGCTAGTTTGGTGTTGTGGTTAAGTGCGCGGACTGTAATCTGGGAGAACCGGGTTTGATTCCCCACTCCTCCACTTGCAGCTGCTGGATGACCTTGGGCAAGCCATAGTTCTGTCAGAGCTGTCCTCTCAAGGACAGTTCTGGAAAGAGCTCTCTCAGCCCCACCTACCTCACAGGGTGTCTGTTGTGGGGAGGGGCACGGAAAGGAGTTTGTAAGCCGCTTTGAGACTCCAAGTGAAGGGCGGGGTATAAATCCAATCTCCTCCTCCTCCTCTTCTTCTCTGAGAGACTGGGGTTGGGGGGGGGGCTTTCTCAAGTAGGACAATGGCTTTCCATTTGCTATGACGAACGGTGTGGTACTTGGGGAGAGGTGGGTGACATAAGTCCAAGAGGATTAGGAACCACCAAGGAAAGTGGACAAGGGGATGTTTTCGTGGGAACTCTGTTCTGAAGAGTTTCAGAACTCCGAAAGGAAAAGCTCCCTCCTTTGTCTCCTCCCCACCTTAAGCCCAATAATTGGTTCCTCCTCTCCCATAGAAGCAAACGAGGTGATGGAGGTAAGCCAGGGGCTCTCAAACTTTCTTAAAGGGGACCATCTTTTAAGGTGGTTGTGCCCAGGCCCGTAGCTACAGTGGGGCTTTTTGGAGGCGCTGCCCCTTTCTTAAAGGCATAGCCCCACAAGGATTTCTCCTCTGAATGCTTTTTTCAATCATTTTAAAACATTTTTTTAAAGGCGTGCGCTCCTTTAAGCAGAGCGGGCTGCTGTAGTGGACTAATTCCCGCACTGAGCGAGGGAGTTGGAGTAGGTGACCTCTAGGATCCCTTCTACTCTGTGTCAAGAAACTGGTCTCCTTTAAAAGAGTTTTCCTGCCCAAGTGTTAGCTTTCTTGGCTATAGAAGTCATCACCCCCACTTGCCAGCTTATTCTCAGAACTGTTGCTTAGGCTGGCAGAAGTGATTAACTTGCAGCAGCTGAGGACTGTCATCTCAAGTGGCTGACAGCTTGCAATTTAGAGATCTACCCTGGTCACCGCTTTCTATTGGCTAAATGGCTTTTCTTTCTGCTCTGAGAACTTCAGCCCCACCAGGGGGGAAATCTGCCCCACAAGCCACAAAATCCGGGATACAGGCCTGGTGTACCTTTTGGGTCCTACCATCGGCATTGCTAGTTCAGGAGTCAAGGAGTGTCTCTTCCTACACGGCTGGTGGCTGGGAACAAGCCGGTCCCCAGGGAAAGGATGGGGGTGCAAGGCACAGGAAAGGCGGATGAGGAGGGAGGAAGGAATATGGCAGTTCCGATCTCCTCTGCCCACAGCTGGGCAGGGAGTGGGGGGTAGTTCTGCAACCTTCCAGTGACAGTGGCGATCCACTATTGCAAGAGTCGCCAACCTTTTTGAGTCTGTGGGCACCTTTGGAATTCTGACACAGGGTGGTGGGCAATGTTCCCTCTAAGCTCTGGAGTCTTGTGAGCAAAAATTCTCCTTTGTGAGCAACTGGCATGAAAGTTGTAAGCAAGGGACCTGGCTACTGCATCAATTAGTTTGCTCTGGAGCCCTCCTTCCTGAGCAAAGACAAAAGTGTGTGAGCCGAAGGCTTAAAAACTGTGAGCTAGCTCACACTAACTCAGTTTAAAGGGAACACTGCTCTGGACCCATCCTTCCTGAGCTAAGACAAAAAAGTGTGAGCTGGAGGCTGAAAAACTGTGAGCTAGCTCACACTAACTCAGCTTAGAGGTAACACTGGTGGTGGGTGCAACCACAAAACGACCACTGTGGGAGGCAGGCCACAAAATGGCCACTGTAGGAGAAGGAGCCAACCTCACACAGAGGAAGCCCAAGAGGAGTCAGAGAGGGAATAAAACCAACATGGTAGTGACGGCTGCTGCTGAAACATTATTTCAATCTGCCCGCCCAATCAGGCCTCCAGTGGCCAATCAACAGCCGTACTGGGCAGGGGCCCACCTAACCACACCCACTTTAAAAAAAAACAGTTGAGAGACACCAGCAAAGGTGTTGTTGGCAGGCACCATGGAGCCCCCGGCCACCATGTTGGGGACCACTGTTCCCTCTAAGCTGAGTGAGTGTGAGCTAGCTCACAGTTTTTTAGTCTCCAGCTCACACATTTTTGTCTTCGCTCAGGAAGGGATGGCTGCAGAGCAAACTAATTTATGCAGCAGCCAAACCGCTCGCTCACAGCTTTAATGCCAGTAGCTCACAAAGTAGAATTTTTGCTCACGAGACTGCGTGGCTTAGAGGGAACATTGTTGGGGACCCCTGCACTCTTGGGTCGTGCCCCCTATTTTGGGAACTGCCTGCGTAAACGCTGCACTTCAGGTATCACCATTTCTTCTTCCCTCCCGCAGGCTGCCTGTTTCGCCGCACTCGGCTTCATTTTCATGGTGATGAGTCTCAGTTTCATCGTCGCTGACTGGGTCACGACAGGAAGGAGCAGCGTCGGGGGGCACTAACCCCCTCTTGCCCCCCCCAAGAGACACAGTGGTTCCAACCAGGGAGAACCTTTCAGTGCCGGGGAGAGGGCATCGTCGCCTCCTGTTTATCCTTGTCCGTCCTGGAGACGCTGCAATCCTTCGCTGTGGGGAAAGAATTGGAACGGCACCCTGTCTCGCCACGGCGGTTGCGAAAGTGGCCTGGAACAGCACCAGGGGCTTCTCTGGAGGCCTTCCAGGCACCGGTGGCCACGAAACAGCTTATCAGAAGACAGGGCTACCTTGTTGCCACGGACTCAGCATTATCTCTCCCCATTGGTTGGCTTTGGTGCTATGATGACACGGTCGACCGGCAAGTGCTTTCGTCCTCTGTGGTCACCACAGAGCGTTCCTCATTTTCTCTCATCCCTGGCAATAGGGTCCCGTTGCCACGTTGCTTGTCACGACAAAACTGCGTGGGTTTGTGTACTGTCCAGTGCCGTAGGACGGTCTCTCAAACACTTGCTCTCCACCCACTCACCCCAATTCTGGAGAGAATCCCTGGCCGGTCCTACCGTATTTTCTGTTTCTGTCGTAACAATGCCTGGCTGTCTCGAGGGCGGCCTGTCTCCTTCTCGTTGCTTAGGATGGAGCAAGGCTCTGCCCTTATTGTTACCCCAGCCCTAGCTTCCATATGTTTGTCCTTACCCCAATACCAACAATACCAACGGTGCCTCAGGGGTCGTAGCCCCCAACATGGGGAACAGCCTAAGACAACAGTGCCCCCTAGTGGGCAATCTAATTTATTTGTTGAAGAACGATGTGTTGAGTCCAGTGGCACCTTTAAGACCAATAAGTTTAATTTGGGGTATAAGCTTTCGTGGGCATGCGCACTTCATCACACTTACGGTGCGCATGCACAGGAAAGCTTATCCCCATAATTAAAACTTGGTTGGTCTTACAGGTGCCGCTGGTCTCCAGCTTTGTTCTGTTGCTTCAGACCAACACGGCTACCCACCTGAAGCTAATTTATCTGTTAGTACACAAATTGAGCTGCGGTGGCTCAAGTGGTTAAGACGCTGAACTGCAGGCAGTGAAAGGTCAGTAGTTCGGCAGTTCGAGACCCGGGTGCCGCATGACGGAGTGAGCTCCCGTCTCTAGTTCCAGCTCCTGCCAACCTAGCGGTTCGAAAGCAAGAAATTGCAAGTAGATAAATAGGTACCACTTCGGTGGGAAGGTAACAGCGTTCCGTGCGCCTTGGTGTTCAGTCATGCCGGCCACATGACCACGGAAACGTCTTCGGACAGCGCTGGCTTTTCGGCTTTGAAACAGAGATGAGCACCGCAACCCTAGAGTCGGACTCGACTGGCTTTCGTGAGAGGGAACCTTTACCTTACACAATTTGGACCTGGCTACCAGACCAAAGTTGACAGCGCAAACATCCTGGGGCCTACACAATTCTCTTCAGGATTTCTGGTTTCCTCTAACAGAGTCCAGGTAACTGGGGTATTTGAACGGGGGAGGGTGGGCAGGCTCTGAGCCTGCGCTTTGTTCTCAGCTCTGGGAGGGGAAGTGGGTCTCGACAGACCACAGAAGAAACTTCTGAGACAAGGTGTCTGAGGTAATGAGGAATGCAGATATGTTGATGGAGAGTCTTTTATCCTGTCCGAGTGAAGTTAGATCTCTCCCAGAGCCACCCAGAAAAGCTTCCTTCTAGCTACACTACAGCGCTTCCCTTTTTGTCCTGAGAGGGAGCGGACGACTATCCCGAATAGCGCTTTGAGACGGGGGCTCCTGTTATTGGCTCCCGTGCTCGGTATCACCAGAGTCAGTCCTATTTAACAACCGCGACTCGCATTGCGCAGGTGGGGGAGTCTCTAACCAATGGGTCCCCGACCTTTTTGAGCCCATGGGCACATTTGGAATTCTGACACGGCGTGGTGGGCCCGGCAACAAAAATGGCTGTCACGAAATGGCTGCTGTGGGAGGCGGAGCCAACCGCAAAATGATCGCCACCGCTTAAACTTCAATCGCACAGTGGAGATCCTTGTGCTGTGGTGGCAGTTGCCGCCAAAGCAATGTTTTTTTTAAATCTGCTCAACCAATCAAATCTTCAGTAGTCAATCAGAAGCCCTGCTGGGCAAAAGCCCTACCTGGCCCCGCCCACATCCTAAAAACACTTGGCAGGCGCCAGAAAAGGTGTTGGTAGGCGCCATGTTGGGGACCCCTGCTCTAACCCTTCACGCGATTGTAAAACTAACGTTTTCAATGAGCCGTGACACTTAGTGGTAAGGTGCCCGTGCCCTAAGGAACTTGGATTCCCTCAGCCCTGCCCAGGTACGGTATGTGGAAACTACCTCAGCACAACCATCATAGTAGGCCGCATCAGCAGGGAATTAGGCGCCCCCCTCCCCTCAAAGTACAGCGTGATTTTAGGAGTAAGGATTGAGGTCTTGCCCTGGTTCGGAGCAACTGTTTGTGCGATGGTGACTTATCTCCAGGTTCCTAGGTGCTAGTCACATGGACCTCAGCCTCTTGACAGATTTTCTGCCCTCTGAACTGGGTCAAGCCCTTTGTGAGGCGAAAGGGATGAAGGGAGAGCTTCCTACGCTGCCCCCCACCCACTGTCTCTTCCTGCTTCTTAAAGCCAGTCTGAGAGGGTCACAGAGCCATGCCAGACACAGGGCCCGTTCACGTCAAGCTACAACCACATTCTCATTTCAGGGAGTCAAAATGGAGGGGGTGATTGGGGGCTGCCAACCTCCAGGTGGTGGCTGGAGATCACCCGGAATTACCCCAGATCTCCAGATGACAGAGATCAGTTCCCTTGGAGAAAACGTCTGCTTTGGAGGGTAGACTCCTTGGCGTTATACCCCACATTGAGGCTCCTCCCCTCCCCAAACCCCACCCTCCCCAGGATCCACCCCCCGATCTCCGTGAATTTCCCAACTGGGAGTTACCAACCCTAGGTGTAATGAAGGAGCGCCCATTAATTAGAGCAAGGGGGGGAGGCGTCGCTTACCTCTCCCAGCATAACACAGCCAATCCAAATCTTTATTCCCGTGTTTCTTCCACTCATCTCTTAATTCCAAAGAATTTTACCCTGATTTCTTTCATGGTATCTTACCTCGCCATCCGTGACCCAGGAAGTGCTTCACCAGCTAAGGAAACCAGATTTCCTCAGTTTCCATTCTTGAAAACTCCAGAGGTGCCTCTTGCGTACTATCCTTGGAGCCTGCATCTGTCCCCCTCTGTGTTTCTTGCCACCGATTGGCATTATTACGATGGCATTATCTGGGGTTCTTGGTGTGGGATGGCCTGTCACAGGCGATACCATGAAAGGGCCCCAAATGGTTAATGGTTTCATTTGGTTAGTTAGCCCAACGCACTAGCTACTCCCCCACGCTGTCTATGTAAGCTCAGCATATGTTGTGTCCCAAAATGGCCTCTTTCTGTGTTTGGTGTAGTGTTTAAGAGTGGCAGACTCTAATCTGGGAGAACCGGGTTTGATTCCCCACTCCTTCATGTGCAGCTAGTTGGGTGACCTTGGGTCAGTCACAGTTCTCTCACGAGCAGTCCTTGAAAGAGTTCTCTCAGCCCCACTTACCTCACAGCCGCTCTGAGACCCCACCTGATTCCCCAGTTCTCCACATGAAGCCACCTGGGTGACCTTGAGTCAGTCACCGTTCTCTCAGAGCCTGGGGGTCCCTCCATCATAAGAACGTAAGAGAAGCCATGTTGGGTCAGGCCAATGGCCCCTCCAGTCCAACACTCTGTGTCACACAGTGGCCAAAACCCAGGGGCCGTCAGGAGGTCCACCAGCGGGGCCACGTCGCATCACTGTATTCCTTACTATATGGTTCTTTATCACTGGCCTTTCACACACACGTGCATGTCCCCACACATACTGAGTTTTCTTTCCCCCCTCCTGCCTTGTTTTGTAAGTTCTCTGGTCTCGGCAGGCAGTTGCTTAAATAGACCATTAACTACAGATCGTATAAATCACTCATACATAAATGCTGTCAATAAAATCCTCCCCTCGGCGTTCAGCTGAATAGTCCTTCACGGCTGCCGATCGGCTTGAATCAGCGACATCTTTGAGCATGCACGGTTTTGGGGGAAAGCTGATGCAAACCTGCTCGGCAGGTGTTTGCGGCTCTTTGGCACGAACGGAACAGGCTCATGTTTGACCAGTACCTTCAAACACAGTATATTTGGGCATCGGACACCATGGCGATTACAGGATCTCTAATTAAAACTGTAAATAGGAGCAGTGGGAGTTCTAGATGAGACAGCTGGTAGAGCCCCTATCTGGGATGGATGTTCCATTTACCTACAGGCCACGCAAGCCCCTCTGGCCCACCAGGTTTTCCCAACATGGCGCGCATGTTTCACAAACACATTTCCTCCGTTCCTTTCTCTCCCACATCTAAGGTGGTCTTGGTTATCTCGTTCTCTTTTTTCAGTCTGCGAAAAAACCTCAGGATCGTTTTACGTGTATACTCCTCAAGGAGTCTAATTCTGCTTGGGGCGGGGGCTGGGGTTTAAGGGAGGAGGGAACGCAGATTCCAAATGTGAAGTTGCTGTAAGGACACAGTATTTGTATAATGTCGGAATTCAATAAAAAAAGAGAGAGAAAAAACCCTGCTGACTCACGAAAGCTCGTACCTGGAAAATTGTGTTGTTCTTTAAGGTACTAGTGGACTCGGATTTTGTTCTATTGACCCACAGTGGAGAGAGTAGTGTGCTGTTATATGTCTACATTCATACTTGTTTCGGGAAGCATACACACTCAATTTCAGGCTGATTGGAAAAAAAGAACGAGTGGGAAGAATACATCACTTTTTGCCCTGATATATTTGGTGTAGTGGTTAGGAGCACAGACTCTAATCTGGGAGAACTGGGTTTGATTCCCCACTCCTCCACCTGTAGCTGCTGGTGTGACCTTGGGTCAGTCACAAGTTCTGTCAGAGTTGTTCTCTCAGGAGCAGTTCTCGAGAGAGCTCTCTCAGCCCCATCTACCTCACAGGGTGTCTGTTGTGGGGAGGGGAAGGGAATGGCGATTGTAAGCCACTCTGAGACTCCTTCGAGTAGTGAAGGGTGCAGGGGTATAAATCCAATCTCCTCCTCCTCCTCCCTATAGTTATATTAGAGTAGAACTTGGTTGGCCTAGACCAACCCGATCTGATCAGATCTTGAAGCTAAGCAGGGTTGGCCCTGGTTAGTATTTGGACGGGAGGCCAGCAAGGAAGTCCAGGGTTGCTACGCAGAGGCAAGCAATGGAAAACCACCTCTGAACGTCTCTTGCCTTGAAAACCCCACGAGGGGTCACCATAACAGCTGTCACTTGATGTCACATTTCACCGCCAGAAATTGGTCAATGGAGTAGGATAGACTTTAAGAGGATTAAGCTAAAATGTCTCAGACGCCCCGAGCTTTGTATGCAAAGTTGCAAGAGACTGCCCAACCTGGTTTTGTACAGAATTCACAATTTATGGATATGTAGTTCAGTAACATTCAGTTCACTTTGCGCCTGGGTCAAATCCAAACACCCAGTTATTCCTGCCCTTCCCCTTGGAAAGAGAGAGAGAAAAAAAGAGCTGTCCAGAATGGGTCTCAACACGTCCCTTCTCTTAGCTGAATCCCACTTCCAACTCACAATGGTTTTGTTAAGCCGGGTGCCTGCAACGCCTACTGGAGGCCTAGGGCTGAGGAAGAGACGCTTTCCCACATGCTTGGGCTACTCCTCAGTTTCTTGGGCAGTCGATTCACAAGCACATGTCTGCCCTCCCTCTGCAGCTTCATAGTTGTGAAATCAGTTCCGCATGTGCCATAAATAATCCAGATTTTCAAGGGAGGGTGCTGTCATAATCAGTGGCATCACAGCCCCCCCACTACTTGTTGCACATGCTTATATCAGTACATTGCTATCGAGGCTGCATTGTTTTCAAAAAAGCACTGAAATAGCGATGTGCTGCTGCAATGATAGGTTAAGTAGGATCTCTGAAGTCCCACTGCTTTTATTTATTTTTGTAAGTAAGTCTCTCTACCAGTGTTCCCCCTAAGCTGAGTTAGTGTGAGCTAGTGCACAGTTTTTCAGCCTCTGGCTCACACATTTTTGTCTTAGCTCAGGAAGGATCGCTCCAGAGCAAACTGATTTATGTAGTCGCCAAATTGCTCGCTCATAACTGTAATGCGGCCAGGGGTCATTTCCTGCAGGAGCTCTGGCAGTAAAGAGCCCAGGGGGCGGGCACATGCAAGAAGCCCCTACTCCCAGCAGCCCCGGGCCATGAGGAGCAAGAAGCAGCCAGGTAAGTTGCAGTGGGTGTTGCCTTCTGGCACACTTCTGGTGATGTCAGTGGGTGTGGCATATGCAAATAAGTTATGCTAATGAGTTATGCTAATGAGCTCCTGCACCTCTTTCTACGAAATGACCCCTGGATGCCAGTCGCTCACAAAGTAGAATTTTTGCTCACAAGACTCCACAGCTTAGAGGGAGTGTTGCTCTCTTTTTCCCTTGTGGAGATATAAGGAAGAAGGCATATCTCTGCAATGGACGAGGCCAGAGACTTACTTTTTTCCAAAAATGAGACCTGTAAAATCAGAGAACCTGCATGACTAACTGTTGCAATGGTGTATTGATATATTGAAATTTTAGTGCAATTTTTAAAAAAAGAATTGAAAACAAAACCACTTGTCTTCATCGTGGGGAGAGGAGAGGAAGTGGTTTGACGATTATGAAAAGTGGGCTAGAAGTCGGTGGGTCAAAGAGAACAGACAGAAATGTTAAAAAATAAGAAGGTGATTCAGAATTGGCTTCCAGAAAAAGATTGGGGTAAAAGTCATCGCAAAGAACCAGGGTGGGGGGAAATGGGGGGGTGGGGACACTCAATGCAAAAACTAAAGGCTCAACAAAATCGGGATAAACCGAAGCAGTACAGGGCCAGAAGCAATGGGGGGAAAAACAACAACAGTCTGTCCAACTGAGGGGGAAACAGCTGAATGGGGGAGAAGATTTTGTGAGTTAATGGTTTGAGTGCTAGACTAGGATCTGAAGGGTCCGGGTTCAAATCCCCACTCTGCTCATATGGTGGCCATCTCCAAGTTGGGAAATCCCTGGAGATTTTGTGGAGGAACCAAGGCAAGGCAGGGTTTGGACAGTGAGGAATAATGCCACCAAGTCCACTCTCCAAAGCAGCCATTTTCTCCAGGGGAACTGATCTCTATAGCCTGGAGATCAGTTGTAATTCTGGGAAATCTCCAGGCCCCACCTGGAGGTTGGCAGCCACTGAAGCTCACTGGGTGACCAGGGGCCAGTCATACACTCTCAGCCTAACCTGTCTCACAGGCCTGTTGTTATGAGGGTAAAACAGAGTGGAGAATGATCTAAGCCAGAGGTGTAGAACTCATTTGTCACGAGGGGCAGATCTGACATAGATGTCACCTTGTCGGGCTGGGCCATCCATGTGCTCCATAAAACATAATGCCAGGCACTGGAGGTATAAAAACTGCATAAAGGACAGCAGCAGGTAAGCTCTGAGTTGGTGTATCCTCACTGCAAGGCCCCCTGCTCACAGCAAGGCCCCCTGGGCTGGGAGGGGGATGCAAAGGAAACCCACATGGGTGGACTGGAGAGCCTGGGGTGCAGCACTGGGCAGATGTTCCCGTGCTGCTTGACTGCTGCAGATGAGGTTGTTTCGCCATGCTGAAGCCTCAATCAGAGTGACTCCACCCACTCCCCCCCCAAAACAGTCTCCTGTTCCCTCCTTTGCACTGGTTGCTCATGGGCCGATTCTGGCCCGCGGGCCTTGTGTTTGACACCCCTTCTCTGAGCTGCTTTGGGTCTTGACAAGGTATAAATATCCAGCTTGTTCAGATGTTGTACCACTTCTGCATTTCCAAAGCGGTTCCCTTTCTAGTCTGCCTTCCTGCCGATCACCTCAGTTCTGCCTTTACTCTGTGTCCTTTGTTCAGATCTGTTTTGTGCACAACAGGGAGAATTTTACATAGATTACTTGTAGATTTTCTGGGAATCCGACGTTTGCTTTTGGGTCCCTGGGAGCTCAGCTGTCACTGTGGATTTGGCTGTTGTGAAAGTACACTTGAAAATCAAATTCCTGGAGGGTCTAAAATAGGGATTAGATCGCTCAGAATGACAGCTCATCTCCATACAAAGATCAGCTCCCCTGGAGAAAATGGAGGCTTTGCAGGGTGGACTCTATGAGGTCTCTGTCCTCCCCAGGTTCCATCCCCAAAACTCTATGTCCTTTGTTCAGATCTGTTTTGTGCACAACAGGGAGAATTTTACATAGATTACTTGTTGTAGATTTTCCGGGAATCCGACGTTTGCTTTTGGGTCCCCGGGAGCTCAGCTGTCGCTGTTGATTTGGCTGTTGTGAAGGTACACTTGAAAATCAAATTCCTGGAGGGTCTAAAATAGGGGTGCCAGCTTCCACGTGGAACCTGGAGATCCCTCAGAATGACAGCTCATCTCCATACAGAGATCGGCTCTCCTGGAGAAAATGGAGGCTTTGCAGGGTGGACTCTATGAGGTCTCTGTCCTCCCCAGGTTCCATCCCCAAATCTCCAGGAGTTTCCCAACCTGGATATGGCAACCCTATCCCCCATCCCCCACCAGTGGCCAGGGGAGACCTGGCAAACCTAGCTTTGAAAAGACATGGCTTCTTCATCCCTCTGTGTAGCTACAAGGCCCAAGAGCTAGTTTGGTGTAGTGGTTAAGTGCGCAGACTCTAATCTGGGAGGACCAGGTTTTATTCCCCACTCCTCCACTTGCAGCTGCTGGATGACCTTGGGCAAGCCATAGTTCTGTCAGAGCTGTTCTCTCAAGGATAGTTCTGGAAAGAGCTCTCTCAGCCCCACCTACCTCACAGGATGTCTGTTGTGGGGAAGGGAAGGGAAAGGAGTTTGTAAGCCGCTCTGAGACTCCGAGTGAAGGGTGGGGTATAAATCCAATCTCCTCCTCCTCCTCCTCCTCTTCTTCTTCTTCTTCACAACTGGGGGTACCCTTATACATTTGGGATGCCAGCCTGAAGTCAGGATCTGGGGATCGCCCGGCATTACAACTCGTCTCCAGACTGCCTGGAATTACAGCTCATCTCCAGATAAAATGGCTGCTTTGAAGGGTGGACTTTGTAGCATTGTATTCCCCTGAGGTCCCTGTCTTCCCCAGACACTATCCCCAAATTTCCAGGAGTTTCCCAGAATGGCATCTGGCAACCCTACCCCCCTCCCTGCCAGTGACCAGGGGTACCTGGCAACCCTAATACCTATAGAGCCCTCTACTACTAATCCACTTGCACGTCTTATTACCTCACCACTAAGTTTTGGGAATTTCATGGAATCATAGAGTTGGAAGGGACCTCCAGGATCATCTAGTCCAACCCCCTGCACAATGCAGGGAATTCACAAATACATCCCCCTCCTACAGGGGTCATTTTGTAGAAAAAGAGATGCTGATTAGCATAACTCATTAGCATAACTTATTCTTTTTCAATTTATATACCGCTCACCCCCTGCGGGCTCTGAGCGGTTTACATGTTCCATTAATGCCAATCCTAACCTAGGGCCACATACATGCATACAAGGGGGAGAGTGACTAGCCTACCAGGCACCCTGTAGCGCGTCGTTGTTGTCTGCGGGAGCTCGTTCGACGACGTCCTCCTGGCACTGGTCTTTGATTTTTTGCAACTTCCTGGCTGTTGCGACTCCTTCAGGCTT